AATTGAAACGTGCGGCGAGATCGATCGATCGTTACAAAACTCTCTGCGCGCCTAGTAACGATCGATCGATCTCGCCGCACGTTTCAATTGGGCAGTGGGCCGGCCTAAGACAGCGATTTTTAATAATTAATAACTCGCTGACTTTTGCGAAAATTGCAAAATGGTAGAGGACTTTTCGACTTAGTCTAGTCCACTCTATCCCACAATAAGCGTTGATGCGGGTATTACATAACACCCTGTAGAATAGTCGATTGGAATATTCCGAAATTAAGACTATTTGCACTCCAGAAGAATATTCATAGAACTATGTGTGCTATCTGGGTTGCATTAGTGCGCACTGAGTGCACACTAAGGTTGTTTACAGCCAATTCTTATATTTAACTAGGGTACTTGGGAAGTAACTCGTTACTTGTAACGAAGTTACTGTTACAGTTACTTTTTTTTATAACTCTAACTTAACTTTGTTACCTTTTCTCCGTCTATAACTGTAACTTAACTCAGTTACATTAATAGTTACTTTATATATATTTTTTTTAAACCTCCACGGATCAGGCCTTGCATTTATGCATAAGCGCCTTTATCGACGCTTTACAATTCGAATGCAGATTTGATATTTTTATTTTCATCGCAAGAAAGTACCTGCAAAGTAGCGATTCGTTACTTTTTGAGTGACTGTAACTAGATATTTTTATAAAGTAACTTTTCCAATCCTGTATTTAATTTTGTCTTAAATTCATGTTCAAAGAGTATTTAGCCAAAAAGGGATTTGCATGGATCACTTTACTGGCTAAAAACTCTTTCAAGAGGTATTTAAAATGATCCCTAAATACAAGAATTGACTGTAAACGAGCCTTAGTGCGCACTGTGTGCGCGCACTAGTGCAAGCAACCGAATTCGCTAGAATATTCTTCTCGGCTTTGAGGGTTTTTCATTTGTTACACCTTCAGCGAAACAAACGGCAGTCTGGACTTTGTACAAGGACCAAAATATTAATGGAGATAGACGATCATTTTTATAATAATTTATTTTATCTTGTACAAATTATGGTAAAAATCATAAAGAATCCGTGATATCGGAACGCGTCGATTCTATATAATATTTAAAAATGCTAAATGACGCGCGTATGTTCATATCTGCGCGACGTTACTAATCGCGCATTGTAAATTGCAAACACCAAAAATGGCAATTACGTAAAGTGCTTTATAGATGAAGAATCGTTGTCGGGATTATGCGCGACACTGAATTACCTTGCCACTTTTGCGCGGTGAAAGCTAATTTAACATAATCACTTCCCCTTCCTTTCTCTGTCTCGCCTGCCATTTACCGCTACCTCCCTCTCCGTCTCCGTCTATCTCGAGAGGACTACCTAAACGGCATTACATAATTTAGTTGGAAAAGTATATTAGGTATTATGCACACGCGCGCGCAAGAGACAGGCAATTCAAAAGGCAGCTAGATTATTGCGGAGATTGCATCCGTCTCTGGTATGCGAAAACGTGCACGACGTTATGTCGAACGTGACATTTTTTTACGTGACAATTTAGCTTAATGTACGTGCAGTTTTTATAAGAGTGAAATTCTCATATGTACAGTATACATTTTTCATCGCAGATGCGACTAACTTGATGCTATTACACCTGGCTGTCATGAATATTAGAAAATAGTGCAATGATAAATAATGCAGCTAGTGACTTTTCTTGAAAATCATACGAGCTTGATGCACACAGTCCAGTAGCTGTGCACGTGCCGATGAGATCGATTGTAAAGAAAGTGAATGCATGCATTATTGAACAAGAATTGAAGTTCGAGCGACTTGTGATTGAATCGCCAAACCATAAAAGCCTCCTCGAATCCATACAAAAATTCTCATCCGTGTTTATTCAAAAAGCGATCGCCGACAAAGGGAAAAGACTCGTGTTTATCGTGAGATTTTAGCACTTTATGAATTCTTCAATGTTATTATTATTCTTTCGCGTGGTATCTTCTTGCAAATCACACGAGCTTACTGCACATAGTCCAATAGCTGTGCACGTACCAATGAGACCGATTGTAAAGAAGGTGAATGCATGCATTATTGAGCAAGAATTGAAGTTCGAGCGACTTGTGATTGAATCGCCGAACCATAAAGGCCTCCTCGAATCCATAAAAAAAAATTCTCATCCGTGTTTATTCAAAAAGCGATCGCCGATAAAGGGAAAAGACTCGTGTTTATCACGAGAGATTTCAGGACTCTATTAATGCATTGATGTTGTTATTATTCTTTCGCGTGGTATCGTCGTACAAATCGGCATTTAAAATTATAGGTCGGTAACAAAAGTTATTACAGCTGTCTGCAAAATACGACAGCATGTATTGAAAATAAAGCAATGAGAGGGGAATGAGTTGGAGAAGTCATTAACCGTTGACAGCGCTTTTAGTATCTCGCTTATTGGTGCATATAAAAATATCAACAGGATATGAAAGTTGCGAAACAATATCGTTAAGAAATTGATGAGATAACGTCAGCGTTTGTTTTACGACTCGCGTTTTATAGCCATTGTATCGGCGAAATATTATACACATTGTGTATTAATACGCCACACGCGAGATATGCCATAGCGCGAGATTGTAGAGCGTAATCGTCTGCTGTCGTAAAGATCTCAATCTGGGATTTTAATATTTGGCTAAATGAGAATTATCTGGAGTCCTGTTACGGCATCTTTGACAACGCACTACGTCCTATTTCAGGCTTACGTGGAAAGAGAAAAGGGCAGAGTGGTGCTCTACACGACATCGTTGGGCATTGTTAGGGAGACCTTTACCAGTTGTATGAAGATGAAGCAAATGCTGTGGACGAACATGGTCAAGTACGACGAGGCAGATTTATTCCGCGACACGGAATTACAGAGCGAGCTCAAGGATCGAACCAATTCAGAAGTCGTAACATTGCCACAGCTCTTCGTCGACGGTCAATATATTGGGGTACGTACACATCTTTGATTTAAACTTACCGGGAAGAATTGCGAGTGTTGGAGGGAAGGTATCGGTGAAGAAAGAAGAATTTAGGAAACACTTGAAAAAAGTAGACATTTGGCTGGAAATAATTTAACACAATGGACAATATTTAAACAACATACCGAAAGTGAAGATAGAACTTGATTTTGTATTTGTTAGTTATAGAAGTCGAAATAGAGGAATAAAATACGGAAGGATATTATCGAAAGTTGGTAAATAATTTAATAAATTTATGGCACAAAACTACGAATCGGAGCGTTGGAAATGTTACGATAAAAAAATATTTATATTGACATTTTCTCTTATAAATGCACGGAAAAAACAATGTAGCTGCTGTAGCTAAAACTTAGCAAAATAGGGACAGCTACTATTTTAGTTGTGATAGCTCAATATTTTGCTACTGTGCCTATTGTATTAGGTGCGACAGCAAACGGTTTGCTGTCGTAGCAAAATATTGAGCTATCACAACTAAAAATATTAGCTGTCCCTATTTTGCTAAGTTTTAGCCACAGCAGCTACATTGTTCTTTCCGTGTGGAACATTAATGTAGCATTAATTTATCAGTTACTGCAGTTTCATTCAGCGAATGTGTGATTTAGATTGAAAATTATATTTCGCAGTTATTTCAAAATATATTCGGCATACAAGCGTTTTATACAAAAGGTTACATAATAAAACGTGAGCAGTTGGCGTTGAACGTTCCGTCATCTGCGTTTGACATTCGTCAGCCAAGTTATTTTCTTCTAGCATCGGTATCGATCTCTCTGTCTCTCTCAGCCCTTTCGCAGGTGGAATAACTTGTAATAAGAAAAGTTATATTGCGCATACTCGCATTCGAGTACTCTATGAACCTTTCGAATCCATCCTCTTACGCTTTACGAAGAATTTGTACAAGGCCGATGACGCGTTATGCAACTGGGGGGGATATTCGACATCGAGAAAGTCGGGAGATGGATGACGTGAAATGTCAAAGATAACTGTCGAGCGAAAATTCGATAAATGTATAAATGAAAATTTGATATCGAATTGCGTCCGTTCTATAGACGCGAATGCACACGTTAAAAATATAGATCGGTCAATAAAGAGTGCGCGTAAATTCGTATAACGGAGATTATTATATTCGTATACTACTTGATTAAACGAAGCGTGTAAAATACAACGCGGTTAGCCTAGCCCGGGTATAATAGAATGGACCGAACGAGGGGATGTGAATGTGAAATATTTTATTTTAAAGAAATCCTATCGTATCTTCGGAACTATACCCCTCGCATGCAATGACAAAATGCGATAGCGTAGATAGCAAAGTATTCTGTTTCAGCATACAATTCTCCGATGTAGAGTGTCGTGTTTCGCAGATCTTCTTACGTTGCATCTCGAGTGAAATCGATATTGAAACATGAAAGAAAATGAGATAGGAGAATTAGAGACGGCAAAAAGTTATTTAACACACGAAACGTTGAATCCCTTATACAACGCACCTCGCCGTAAATGCAAGCTTCTGATCATTTTTCCCGGAGTAATCGCCGGTGCTCTCTGCCGATTTTAATAAACGTTTATCTCGCAGAGAAATATGATTCGCGTAACCAGACAATGATCTGCAACGGTTATTGGTCTAATTAAATACTGAGACGTAATTGAAAGTTTACTTAACTGAGAGTAAGCTATCGGGAATTAGCGACAACAATCATTACCGTATAGTGGTCACTTAAATGTTACAGCACTTGGGGACGACCGCGGTATACGGACACACGTGTTATCATTGTATGTAGTTCGTAATTGCTCTCATTCACGGATGGAGGTAGGCTATAAGTTCGTGTCATCGTGTACGACGCGAGATACCTTTATATGCCTCTATAAAAGAACATGTCGCTTTTATTGCGATGCGGTAAAGAACTTCGTAATCATGAGCCCCAGCTATATTCGCGCGCTTTTCCCAGGGTGATGATGTCAGCGATGTACTCTGATTAAATTGTAAATATTGCATACACGATAAAGATGCCAGTTACTCATATCTCCAGTGTCGATTCGGGGTACGCGTGCGAGGAGCGTTTTTATGACAAGAATTCGAAATTGTGAATGCTTTATTTTAATTAATAGAAAGAATTGGGAGCTCTTGCAAATAAAAATTTATCCGTTCGGCATACACGGTATTCTTGATTATATTAGACTACAGAGACGTACGTCTGTCTTTTCGGATAAATACGTGAGTGTTAAAAACGCATATCAATTTTGTCTTTTGAGAGAATCCTTCCCGAAAGCGCGGCCTAATATCAATCTTTCTTGAAGACAAAACTAGTCAAACAACTCGTAGCTTTAAAAGTCACACACGCAATACTGTTATTTAATTCTCTTTCTCGCTCTCTCTCTCTCTCTCTTTCTCTTTCTCTTGCTGAAACAAAACTCTGTGCGGAATGTAAGAGGCATTTTTATGATAAAAACTTGAAATTGAGAATCCTTTATTTCAATTAATAGAAAGAATTGGGGCGGCATGCACAGTATTCTTGATTATATTAGATTGTATTAACTTTCCTAATTAAAGAGACGTATGTCTGTCTTTTCGGATAAATACGTGAATGCTAAAAACGCATATCAATTTTGTCTTCTGGGAGAATTCTTCCCGAAAGCGCATATCAATATTTCTTGAAGAAAAACTAGCTAAACAACTCTTAGCTTTAAAAGTCACACACACAATGCTGTTATTCTCTCTCTCTCTTTCTCTTTCTGCCGCCGTCGTGGTATCCGTTTCTCAAGAGTTACTTCCAGCAACCGATAGTTAAGAGAACAGATATATGCGTAAGTGAAATGTCAAGCTATTTGATCCAAGGCCGTCGGAGAGAACGCGAGGTGCGATTGCCTGTGTTACACCTTATACCGACTCTTACGGTTGCTGGTGTCTAGCACACAAGTGTACACACGTAAAGCCACCCGAGCTGCATTCCGATCCCACCGCGTCATGCAATTATCCCGCACGAAATGACCGATCGATGCCGAAAATCGACGGGACATCTTCGAAATGTTCGCTCCTCGCCGCTGTCGATTCGCATATTGTACCCGCTTTCGCCCCTGCCCACCTTGCTCGCGACGTCTTTTGACAGTTTACATGGCACGTGGTGAAAGGAGTACAACGTCGTAACTACAATCGCAATAAAAGTCTTATTACGTTACATCAGACGCGAGATTACAAGATGCGCGCTGACAAGCATCTTCGAAATGTCGCATCGTCTTACCCGCGTGTATTAACGAACGCGTCGTACGCTACCGATTGAATATTTTTCGCGAAAATTATACGCGTCGATACATAATTAAATGGCTCTAAGGATGCTCACCGGTTGGCAAGACAATCCTTCGGGACGAAAGAGCGAAATTTCCTTCTTGAATAAATCAGCGGCGCGTCAAACCTGCAAACTACAGTGCCGGCCAAAATTATAACACCTTTAGGTCTTCTGAGCATAACTTTCGTCAAAGTGCATCGAACGTGCTCGAAACTTTACAGTAGACACCTGATAACAGGTGCAGCTTGTACACGAAGGGTACTCTCTAAAAATCAATCAGTGAATTATCACTGAAAACAGTGAATACACAGTAAAAAATCGTGTGTTCAAATGTAAAAATTTTCTTGTGTTACCAAGATTTGATTCTTACTTCCATGTAAAATTAACATAAAACGTATATGTTATTATTTTCATAACACCTTTATGTGTTATATTTATGTTAACATAATAACTTGACACTTTTTTTTATTTTCTACTCTTGCCAATTAAAGTAGGTCCTTTTAAGTAGGAGCTAAAGTAAATTTTTAGAATTAAAGGTTCAAGGGGTGAGTAAAAAATATAATGTCGTCAAAGTAGGTTATTGCTGGTCTAAGTAGGTGCAAATTGTCCTTAAAAGTGTCAAAATATTGTAATACCAAAATTTCGTGCATATGAATCCTAAAACTTATCACAACCTCACGCAGTAAGAAAAGAAAACATCATTGAGGTTTCCACTGAAAACCGGTATACTTATAACTGAAAATCCGCGGCTGTTCACTGTTTTCAGTGACAAACCACCGAGTGACTTGTAATGAAATTTGCCAAGATACGCCGTGATTTTCCAAATTTTCACTCGTGCACTTTAAAACTACACACAGAAAAATATTATTGTACAGTCAAGAAAAGTAATTACTCAGTTTATTTTATTCCGTTTAAGTAATAGTTTGCTCCAACAAAGAATATTTTCTTAATAATAGTTTTAAGATATACTTGTTACTAGTCTTAGAAAAGCTTGCCATCTTATACTCAAAGAAAGAATTTATTCTTCTTTGAAGAAAATTAGAAAACTTATGGAAGAATTCCGTATGCTTCTTTTAATAAAGTCAGAAGAAACAAAATTGTTTTGCTTCAAATAATTCTATAATGTCTTCTTGTTTCAAGTACTAGACTTACTAAGAACCAGAATATGTTTTGAGTAAATATCACACTTGCGACGACATTATGATAGATTTGCGGATATATAAACTTATCAAATACTTGGAACAATTAATATTTACTTGCAGGTAGTATATACACTGAGAGAAAAGTGCGTAGTATTTGCGACTATAATTGCATAGTAAAATAATTATAGTCAGGAATATCATTTTTATAGTAATTATCACTATAATATTAGTAATAACAACCACATAGTCATAGTGATGCCAACCAGCATAAAAATTTTACTATTATTTATGAAGCTTTTAACCATTATTCTGGTAAAATATTAAGATGGTGAATAGTAACTAAATTAACTAGTTTTATATATATAGTAGGTGCAAGTACAATAATAGTAAATTTAACTATACTTTCTATCATCCACTTTACTATTCGCATGGTAAATAAAAGTGAAGTGGTTCGGAATGTCTTCACTAGAGGGACGCGCGGTACAAGACTCTCTCGTAAGTAAAAAACCGCTTAGGGTGTTATAAATAC